TTTTTGAAGTCCACACTAAGTGCCCTCCTGAACTTTGTGCAGACCCAGTGAGAGGCTGCAGCAGACTGTTTAGTTTTGACAAAACTGAGGTAGTGTTACTACAGAACTATAAATATGTCAGTAAAAGCTAAAACAAAGAACGCATGAGTGCTTGAACCTCACATTTTCTTTGAGCTCAACATAGTCTGATCACACAGTAGCACATAACACTGACACCACTAAAATTATGCATCTGTCATTTGAGTTCAAGCACATCAATACAAAACATTCACATCAGCAGAGCTGACGGTGACCTGCTCAAAGTAGAGCTCGCAGCCAGCAAAATGCAACTACACCAACTTTCAACCAAACATTCTGTAAATGAGCAGAACGCATAATAAGTAAGGGCTCTGTCAGACTATGCAAGCTATGCAGCTGCAAACGCTTCCAGCTATGCAAGGAGGGTTTGGCACATACTTGCATAGCAAAATGGGTCAGACATTTTTGTAATGCGGCGCACGCTGTTCATCGGCATCTTTATAACAAACACGTCTTTTTCTTCCACTGGTGACAATTTAGCAGATGCAAAATGATGCACTCCTGCTTCTATGGGATAAATCACACGATGTGATTAGGACCACAGGCCAGTGACTCTTGCCCCCTGCTGGGTGAGCGGTGTATCACATCTGCTGAAATGCAGGACAGGCACTTCTTATGCACATAAATACTTGCATGAATGACCCTTGCATTTACAGCTGCATTTATGTAGAGTCTGAAACAGCCCTAAGGCTTCAGCGTGGGACAGGATAGGCCTTAATCTATCATAAAAACTAACATTTGTGATCCAAAATGAACTGTGTTACACGTTTGTTTTAAGCACATCTACAAGTGAACCACGTTTGAATGTTGTAACAGTGGACTCATCTTGTGCAATGGACAGAGTCTGAGTGACCCGTCATCCCACCATGTCGACAGGTTTTGAGGGCAAAGCTGAAAACAAACATTTCTAGCAGCTGTTACTTTTAATTAAGCCGGAGAGCTGAATGTGATGCTCTGCACTGGCCAAAATGTCACCTTACTGTGTGCTCTGCTTTCACGCCCTGAGTTCATTGCTGGCTGTCAGAGGTCACACTGTATTTTTGAGCATTTTCCAATTTCATTCTTATTCCATTCCTCCCCCCCCATATCATTTTCTGTCCTTATTAATGCAAATGTGTAGAACTTTGTTCACATACACAGTGGCTCTCCAAGACCTGCACACATTCTCTGATGTGGAAAAATCAATGGTGTTCCCCTTTAACCTACTTAGAAACTGTTGTTAATGTTTACTCTGGCACTGTAGTGGGAGGCAAACTCTGTTTCCCTTCAATCTGCCAATCTACCCAACTTTGAACCTAACAGCAAAACAGTATTCCAAATTGCTAAGCTCTGTTTTCAGCACTTTTTAAATATATTTTAGTGCATTAGTTGAAGTGCAGACAGTGAGCCACAGGCCTTCTGTCAGTGAAGTCTCTTGTCCTGACAGAGGATGACAGGCTCTTCGTCCTGACACAAAAATCCACACACAGTGGCATCCAGCAGGACAAACGGGACACGCGTTGGAACCATGCCTCCTTACAGACAGCCACTAGAAAAACAGGTGTGTTTCCTACCTGGGGCAGGGTTAGAGGGCAGGTGAGAGGGGACAGAGCTCAGGGTCCAGGACAGAAGGGGAACTGGGGCTAGCAACGCTGAGCATCTATACCTGCAGGGCTGAGCACCAGGGCCTGGAGGATGTCTGACAGGGAGATAATGCCCTCGATGCTGGAGCGCTCATCCACTACAACTAACCGATGCACCTAGCACAGAAACACACGTTTACAGATGAACTTCAGAGTAGTTGTAAGGCCAGGTCTTACTTTACTGTAAACAGTGAATGTATGCAAGTGTCAGAGTCTCACTTCAGCTTTGACTATTCTATCCACAATAGTCTCCATCGTTTCCATCTTATGGCACTTCACGACTCCTTCGAAGTACTGAGAGCGATGTTTCAGAGCCTGTGTCACTGTAATGTCCAGGTTGTTGTACGTCTTCTCAGCAGCCAAGTTCTACACACAGAGACACGAAAGTGCACTGGATAAAGTGAGACGACAAATCACAGAGGAGCTTTGACTAATAATTGGTATTCTGTCTCTTCAAAAACAGGAATTTCAATTTACAATCACGTCGAACTTGGAGTAAATATCCACAACTTTGCCTGAAAGAGAATGAAAACAACTCCGGTAAGTGAGAGCGTTAACATATTAATCAAAATATATACGGTCAGTACTGGAGTTTGTGTACTTACCCGAGTCATCCACCACAGGCAAAGCAGACACTCGCCTCTCCACAAAGATGTTAAGTGCTTTTATGATGGGCGTGTCCGGGTGGATGAAAGCAATGTCGTGGTATGAACCAATGCCCAGCTCCCCAAGAGTCTGCTTCATAAAAGCTGGCTTTGGTATTTCACACATCTGGGACACACAAGTGCACATACAGGGACACATCACTCTTCGTCAAGGTAAAGGCACATTTTATTAGCCATCACATTAACCACTTGGGGGCAGCAGACAATGAAAGTGGGCCAGGAGATGACAATATTGCCAGTACATGTAATTCTATTCATATAGATCAAAAAATGCTATGCAGGGTTAACACTCATTCACAGAAAGGACAGCGATTCTGTTACTCACAAAGAGCTGGAGGAACTTGAGGATCCTCTTGTGTGTGAGAATATAAAGTGCATTCCCTGTGACAGGGTCGATGACAGGCAGGCGGTGAATTTTGTTTTTGATAAGGGTGTACACTGCTTCAAATAGGCTGCAAACACAACAAATGTGATGACAAGTAACAGGAAAAAAATAAATAAATCTGTTCACACTCACAAATATGAACCAAAACAAAAATGCATGTATGACAACGGTACCTTGCCTCAGGTGATATGTTGACCAGAGGTTTGAATGTTGCTTGAAGATAAACCTCTATGTTGCAAGAAAGTACTTTAATATGTTTTTTAAACTGTTTGTAAAATAGTAATAATTTTATTTTATGCGTGCTATAGAAACATGAGAATAAACGTGACACCCACCTCTCCACGTCTCAAGCTTATGTTCCTCTAATTCATAAATTTGCACCTAAAATACAAGAAAAATAAGTAAAAAAAATAAAATAAAATAAAAAAAAAGAAACAGGCTAAAAAGGCCAATCTCATGCAAACGTCATCTGTCAAGTGGACGTACCATCGGTGACTTGTAGTATCTGTGTAGTATGATGATGAAATCTGTGATTGTCAGCATTCCTG